TCACCTACAGAGGGTTACATCGAAACGGAAAAGGGATAAGAAATCCACGGGACACGAGGTCGGGTCGTATTGGTTCGGCCGCGGGACTCCCTTAACGTTTGATGACGCTCTTCTTCGGGGTGGCCGTCAACACGATTAAACCATTCCACGGGCCAATATTCTCCGCGAGCAAATTTGCCCGGGTAACAGTTTTGCATTCCAAATCGCCGGTCGGAGGGGCCGGCGTAATGTAGGCCCGGCGTCGTGTAAACCCGGCATAATGAAATCCGTGCCATTAGGCCGGCCAATGGGGTAAATCCTCCCCGCTCTCGGGGCAAACGTCGGTTTCCGGTCCGAGCCCGCCTCGCCCCGCGCCCTTATTCGATTCGATCCCGACTCGAAATCGAATAGAGCCGTGCTTCTCGACAATGCTCCGGAAAATTCAGCCTGTGTAGCCACGTGTATATGTGTTACCCGACGCCGTCGCCGTCGAAGTCGCCGTTCTCGCCAATGAAACGGACACGTGACCGGGGCCACGGGGACCCCCGTCGATCTTCTTTGTCCCCGCGCTCCGTGACTGCAATTCTCCCCGAACGACGCGACGCGGGAACTGCGGACCGTTCTTTTACTTTCCACGTTCACCTCGGCTCCGTATTTTCCACCTTTAATTGGGCCGCGATCTTTTGAGGTTAGGTGCGGCGTGCTGTAAAGTTCTGGCTGGGAGACAGGGGATGAAGCTTGCTTGTTTAGCTTGGTTTTTTGGGCTGCGCTCGGAAACTAGGGTTAGTTGCGATATTAAGGGTGTGTTGATTGGAGATTTGGTTGTAGTTTAGTTGTATTTTGGTATTGTAATAGGTCTAGTTGTTGGATTCTGTTGCGTCGAGCTTCGTTATTGGGTTTAGTTGTTTCCACGGTTCCATTCTATTCTGTCATTATATCGAGTTTCATTGTTATATTTAGTTTCGAACGTTCTGTTACTTTGTTTAGATATTTTAAGAGTCTAGTTATTGTACTTTGTGGTTTCACGAGCTGAATTGCTATGTTTAGCTACTGTATTCCGATTAGTTACCATATCCACTAATTTCGACAATTGACTATATTCAGTGATTTCGATATTAATGTATTATTATCTGAAAACCACCCTTAGTATTTAGCAATTCTAAAAACTACATTACCTCTGCAACCACCACCTCTCAATTACTCAGCCCTCCGAGCTCCGCTAAAAAATCAACAAGGCAAATGCCAGTCTTATTCGCGTCTCCATGAAAAAATCACCCCCTTCCGCTCAGTAAACATTCCGCGGCCGTAAAAATCCGTTCCGCAAGACACTGCGGCATCGGTCTCCGCGGCAGCACGCGCGGGCGAGCTTGATTAGCCTCGAAAGGGCTCGGTCGCTCATTTCATTAGCGGGCCGAGGGCAAAACCTCGGCAAAAACCGGCGCGCCTGGCGAAGGAAGGGAGCCGCGGCCGCGATTCGAAATTCATAGGGGCTGCGCTCTTTCCCGCGGTGTTCCGCATTCCCTTTGCCGCTCGGCCGCTTTGATTCCCCGCTAATTTCGGGCACAGCTGCGTTCATCAGCATCGCCGGCGCGGCCGATCGCGGCGTTCCGCGATTAGAGCCTATGAACACACCGATTAATTCGGAACAACAGAGAGACAGAGTTCTCTGTCTCGCTGAAGAGAAAGATGGGAGAATTTTATGTCTTTGTTCTTGCAAAATTAAAAGCATTATCGTTCGTGGCATTTAGCTCTCTGCTATGTAAGATAATATTCTATTGAACATCGAATTTGTATAACTTCCACGACCTGTCGCTCTTTATTACCTGACCTGTATTATTCACTGACTAAACTGAGGCAGTTCACTCTCGTATTGTGATTGCGTGTTTAAAGATCCATTGCATCGTTTCAAAATAATAATTTTATTAATAATTGTTACATTTTAGTTACGTTTAGTTACATAAGTGTAGCTGTTAATTAGTTCAGAGATCCCACCGTCTCAGATTTCGCATGGTATCCTATTATCGCTTTGTCTATATCAAAATATTTCTGTTTTTTCTATTATTTAAGCAATTGATAGATAGATTAGATAAGTTCGTTGAAGATTTTGTATATTTTAAGACGAAAAACACTGGATGACGATCGCGCTATAGATTCGCTCGTGTACATTGGCTCTTAGATTGCCGGCCGCGCGGAGCGAAGTCAGCCGCGAGCGCCGAGGGAGGATTTCCGGTGCCGGGCCATCGAGCAATCCGATGATCGAGGCCCTAATCGAATTAAACCAGCCGGTTGTATCCCGTGTTTACGACGGGCTGACTCGTCGCTTTGGATTTGCTGCGTTCGCGCGATAATGGCCGCGCCGAGCCGTTTACGCGCCACCCCTACGTAAAGCGGTTTGCCTATGAGCTGCCCTCGGACGCAGCTCACCCTTTGCTTTGCGCTGGAGACTTTGCTAACCGGAAATCGTCGGTTCATAAGATGGAGACGACGGTTATTAAGCATCTACACTCGACAGACTTTCGCTTGTGTATACATATTCATTGGTTCGTTGTAAAGTACCGATTAAAGCACTCCTGAACTATTTTATTTCAATATTTCGTGTCTAATAATGTTACACAAAATACGATATCGGACATTGAATTCTATAATTTTACTATGTAAAGTGAAATTCCTCTCGAACGAAAGACTTAAATTTTCAATGCGGTTATTGGAGAGTTTATTCAAATATTGATAATCGCTGGAGACTCGTTAAACTTCCTAAGTACTCAGATTTAATTTGGACTGACGATTTCTCGGATGATTTTCAGAATTTCAAAGCACAGAATTCTTTCCTCAGACTACGTAAGGAAATAATTTAAATTCACTTGAGATACTTAATAGAATCGTCTTGAGCAACGTAATACACTCATGTACTCTCGAATTCGTTGTTCCTAGTACTTAATTTTAGTTTTCGAGTGAAACAATGATCGATAAGCCTGCCAAAGCAGACGGATCGTTAACAAGAAGCTTCGTTTTTCCACATTTCGACTAACAACCGTCCAAAACACCGTCGATTCCTCATCCGGACAGTTCCTCGGGCGGCGGTATGTTGAATTTCCCAACGATTACGACGTGGCGGAGCGAGTTCAGCCGAAGAACCAGCTGCCGGAAGCCGCGGCGGGCGTTTCTTGCCCGTTTGATTGCCGAAAGCCGGCCGACCGTGCCGGAAGAGCCAGCGGTGAGGGTACACCGCGAAGAATCCTGGGCACAGACGGGGAAAATGAAATTTACTGCCACTCCGGAACCGTGAGTTTCCCCCTGAGAAACTAATACACGCTGTCTTCGTCGTTCCAGCGTACAGATTTCTCGGTCGTCTTAACGACCAATAAACCAACGCGTGTAATCGCTCCTCCCGCGAGTCAAACTCTACTCGATGCCTACGCTGCCTGCTCGAAATACCCTCTAAACCGACGGCACAAAAACACGAGTGGGTAGCTTTAACACTAAAGCTACCGGTCCAAATCACCCATTCCTGGTCCCTTCCTCTCGCAATTATTCAAAAGATAACAGATACTTCTCGGAGAAATGATATAAGACATTGTAGCCATACGCGAACCGAATTGTAAATCGATTCAAGTTTCAATACACCCACTCTTGCAGTCTTTATAGACGAATTTCGAAGTCAATCAAACGTGCCATGGAAATTTCAGTTATACTTCACTTATGAACTGTATTGATTTTTTAAATAAAGTACTAATGACATTGTTCCTGTTCTTACTGCTCTGTAACGCAAACCGTGACCACGTGACCCTTAACCCTTTTCGGTCCGAAGTGCTCTTGGTTTCTTACTTTTTCACGTCTACGTTAGTTCATTCAATTACAGCTTAACATGGCGCTTTATTTATATATTCAAGAATATTTGGGAGTCATTGAAACGTTACCTTTAAATGGCACAATTGTGATACTGCAAATAAATATAGAAAAAAGTGTTAAAACAGGTAGACCATAGATATACGACTGCTAAGGGTTAAAAATACTTTCTCAGAATAGAAATTCGCGTGTAGTTTTAGTGTTAAAGAATCCTCAAGTCTCCGGCCGCCCAATCTATCAGCCAGCCAATTAAACCATCGAGGTCCCGTCAGTAAAACATTCCGGCCAGTGAACAAACGGTCGCGTCATCGATGATCCCTATCATCGGTGTTCAACAAGCTGCGCCCACGCAATCTGCCGCATCGATCTCAATGGAAAAGGGACTCGTAAATATTTGCCGTTGATAATCGCATCAAAGACTCGGATGTAACCACGGCACGGTAAATATAATAGGGAGCGATCCCCACGCTCCGCCGGATGGTAATGCGGCCGGGGCTAGGCTCTTACGCCACTGTGCACACACTCGCGGCCTGCCGTCCGCGCTGATAGAGAACGGCGCGCGTAAGACGCCGCCGAGCGGCGCTCGCCCGTGTTCGCCGATGTTTGCCCGTGTCACCCGTATAGACCCGCCACCGAGCGCTCTATGTACACGACTTAGCTCGAGGAGTTTGCTGGCGTTCTTGCTTGCATTTGCCTAACCGCGTTAACGGATCCTGATCCAAATATCAGCCGGCGCGGCGGCGCTGGCTCGAACGCCGTTCACGGCCGCCACACTGCGAGCACTAGTTGACTTTTCAACCGATCGAGCAGCTTTGTCGAAAGTAAGATAGGATTCTTTGGTAACGAACACGGTTGGAATTAGACTAGGTTCGGATAATTGCCGGAACTTGTCTTGAATTCCTCGATTCAATTCTTTACTCCGTTGAATGTCGATTTCGAGGGAGGACTGTTTTGCGAAGTGAATTGATGTTTTCATCTTTAGAGTAAGATATAACATCATTTCCACGCGTTCTAAGCGTGTGATATTAATTTATGTGGAGAATGTATGAGTGTCAATTTTAATGAAACCGTTCGGAATAAACCTGTTGTCTACTTGAGTCTTTCTTTCGTTCTGGATGATCAAATAACGTCTTTGCGAACTGTGGAAGGTATTAACAACACAATTTGTGTTTCAGATGAGCGGCAAACGTACCAGAAGCTTCAAGTGCGCGGTTCACCATCGTGACCGTGAGGTGTGCTCGGAGAACGATTTTCATCTGCTCGTGCAGGAGCCTCCGCTCTTCCGCAGGTAAGTTTTCGCGACATACGTTAACGCTAGATACACTTTACTTGCACTGACCATTACCCATACATCTCATTTATAAGATCATTGAAATAAAAATAACACAATTCAATAATTCAACAATCTTCCTTCATTTCGCGTGTTTTACTCGGAGAAATCGCGCAGTATTCAACGCTTTAACGATGAAGTAGTTGTATCGATCAGAGTTAAGTAATAAATCAGAAGGGAAGGGGTTAAGAGACGAACGCCATCGATCGGCAACGGAACGAGCCGAAACTCCGCATGATCGATCAACGAGCTCGCGTTCCCGACACTACGAAATAACCTCTTTTTTTCCGAATACTTGCCTGTTATTGCCCGTAACTCGGGGGATTCCGTTAGCCGAGCGCCGTGCACACTTCAATAATCCGCTCTCGGCTATTCCATAATCGAGCATTCCGCGCGACTACGCGGAATCAAAAAGGAAAAGGCGAAGGAAACGGGGAAAAAATGCCCGTGTTATAACCGAGGACATTCCGATCCAGATTCCCGGGGCGCGAGCCGATATTAGTCGCTTTTTCGTCCGCGATTAATCGTCCGGGATACGTTTCGAAAAAGGTCCCGCGGTCGGTCCGACTTGTTTCTGGGCTGCCGTTCATAAATAATTCATTGGCGGGAAGGGACGAGTCGGAGGAAAAGGAACGAGCCACGGAGAACTCGGGGAGCAACAGAGGCAACAATCATCGGAGAATATGATGACTGTATAATAATGAAATATTATATTACGTGTGCCACTCGCGATGAAACTTTGAAAATTAGACTTTACTGAAACTTAGTTAAACTTTACTTTTTCTTTAAATGGTACATATCCATTTTTTTGTATATGTTTGAATCGACTGCAAAACACTGGCAATCGCCAATCGATTATGTTTATAAAACCGTGAACCCGTTACATTTTATTGTGCAATAATACAATAACCATCGAAGAACATAAACGATTATTTTTAGCTAGTGCGTAAATATTTCGCTGACTCTACCGTTAACTCGTTTTTTTCCAAAAATGGACCCGAATCAGTTTAAAACAAATATATGTTTCTGAAAGTAAATGTTACCCTCTGGCTAACATTAATATTTGAACAGACTCACGACGAACGTAGGATTCTTTGTGTTCTCAACCGGATAATTGCCGAGGATAATACTTAAATAGGATAATTGCAGGAAGAATGGTAACGCGGGGGTTAATATATATTAACAGAGCGTGTAACAGACTGGGAACTTCGCGAAATGAAAATGTCCCGATTTAAAGAAACGGGAGTCGGATAATAATACCTTTGTTCCCGTAGGAATGTTAATAAAGTAGGTTTTCTCACAACATTTTCTAACTCGGTGATGATGTATAAACATGCGATAAGGGATGTCGGAGGCGAAAGGAAAATAGGGGGGGCATGCGAGGAGACCAAAGGACGGGAAAGGGGAACGCGCGAAACGGATCCAAAGGAAAACAAATGGCCCGCGAGAATAGAGTCGGAATACACAGCTCGGATGAAAAGTCCATCCGATTATTTTCTCTGCGTTGCACAGTGCAGCCGTTTTCTGGACGAAACTCGATAACTTAAAAAGTATCAGTGTTAGAAAGAGCTTAGACAAAGGTTATAGAGCTAACTATTTGTTAATTACATTTTGTATACATTATAGGGATATTATGAAGTTTTCTCAATAATAATAAATTCATAACAACAACTTCTTATTACTATCGAAAGTGTCAAAGTACCTGAAATTTTCACTTAAAATTCTTTCTTACATTGGTCGTATATTCCGAATTGACTTGTCGATCTTTCCAGTTATAGAATTAACTATATGAGATATCCAAAATTCAATTGAGGAAGAACGATTATGTTCAAATTTGAAGAGCTGTCTTTCCTTTGGTAGAAACAGCGTCAAAGCCTTTATCGCGTAGGAAAAGCTTGAAAAACGATCAGCCCGGAACTTCCAAGCATCGCTGTATCTTCGCGAACTTGCCGCGAAAACGAGGAATTTTCCAGGCGACCGATTCCGAAACAAGCCGAAAACAGTCATCAAAATCGCGCGAATCGAACAAAACGTGATTCACAGCGTCCCCGCCCCGCTCCCCGTCCCCCAGCGAAATCTCTGCGCTACCAAGGAGAAATTCCTGTGCACACAAGATAAGAAGCGAGCGGCAACCTGCAGGCTCTTTGCAAATAAAATATCGCTCAGGCGTCAAGCGGACAGAGGAGAGACGGAGAGACGGATGAAGAGAGGCGCGGAGAGAAAGTGCAACGGGTGACGCGGAGCGCTGCGAACAGGAGGGGGAGGGGGGGTG